CCTCGTTCGTAGCGCCCGAGGCGACCGAAGGCTGATGACGTCACTCAATGGAAATTTCCCAGCCGCCGGTCGTTCACCCAGCACGCGCAAATGGCAATGCTGCTCTTCCCTTAGTTACTCCCACATTTTTAAATATTACCCAAAATCCGCTAAACACAGAAGCATGAAATTTTAAGGGAATAAAGAAAAATGGTGTACAACGTATCAGTCAGTTTGACAAATCACAGCTCCAAAAAATCTTCAAAGAGCACCACATCAACCACTTTCGCAAACATTTTCGACTGCTTCTTGGATGGGTACAAGGTTGTCAAACTGCATACTACGAGATTGACCTCTTTTCTGATTGGCTGCCAAGTTTCATTCATATCCATTCACGAGAAGCGGCGTGAGAGCGAGTTGAAGACAACAACCTTTGCGTTAGTGCGTCCCACGAAACATCCCCGCGGCGGGGGCCAAAAATCGGCAGAACAAAACGCGCTCAGTGGGCATTGCAGTGCACACAAACCTAAAGCAACCTCCCTTACTTTCGTTGAAGGTAGTGTCTACCTTCTCTAACGTTACAGAACGTATACAAGTTGTCTTGGTTCTCTAATGTTAGTAGAGAACCTAAAAATAGCTCGTTCGCTCTATCTAGCATGGAAACGAGTCGACATTGCTGCTTCCACAGTTCTTACACTTTATTTTCGCAAGCTATTAAGTTTACTTTCGCGAAATTAAAATGCTCGCGAAAGTAAAGCTGTCTACAGTACTGCATCTTGCCTTTACAGCGACGTTAAACCCCTAACAAGCAACCAACACCTTCTATCATTCCATCGAGATGACAACATCCCCCCCCCCCTCTTTTCATAATATGTTGTAGGCCTACACTTTTCATTCAAGGAAGGTGCACTCTGATACCTCCCTAAAAAAAAATTAAAAATTAAAAAAAACTTTGAATAAGTCTCTGAAGATCAGGCCGTCTGTAATTAGTATTTAGAATATAGCTTGCAGTTTACATGCGATTTCGTATTCCCACCTCAAAGCCAAGGTAGACCTATGTGATACAACGTGAGAGACCATAAATGATACCAAATTCACATCTGTGGAAAAACATTGCCGATTTGGTGTGTGATGTGACATCACTGTCATGAAATCAAATCACGTGGGTCAAGGTCAAGTCAGTCATATCAACGCTAGGTCTACGATAGGCCTAGATCTAGAGCATGAAATAACCCAATTCAATGAGTGGACTGGCAGACCTATTTGATGAAGATCTAACGACACAACATAATGTAAACAAATTTGAAAAAAAAAAAGAAAGATTGAAAAGTAGCCTAGCCTTATCCGGAAGTTCAAATAGGGCCCTACATGCTTAAAATATTGTTACTTTTTTTATTCGTTAGAGAACGTAGACACTTCCTTCGTTGAAACAACAGTTACGTCCATATTTTGCTAAAAATAGTCCTTAATTAAGACAGCTTTTTCTTCATCAACTGAGCAAAACAGCGTGAAGCTCTTTCCCCGGAAGAGTTAACATTGGTTGTGGATGAAGGAGCCTGATGCCTAGATTTTACGTTTTGGTAAACTCTGAAGCTGGAGAGTTATTTGCATATGAGGCCCTATCAAGGGTGAAAGAGAATTTGCAGTTCAATCTCGCCATTTTTGCCCAAAGGGGGGGTGCCCGGATTGTAACATAAAATCCGTAGTTTCTCATCCTTCGGGCACATAAGATAATATAGTGCCAATGGTTATATATAATAAAGAATCAAGATTTTGTGCATAATTTAAATAATAGTAGAGTCAGATACAGCATATTAGCTCAGTCAGACACCAGTGTAGTAGAGTCAGATACCAGTGTGTAATACAGTCGGATATATATCAGCAGTGGCAGCTCGTGGTTTATAGAACTGACCGGCCGTCATTCGCGTTGACTATTTCTCCCTCCCCCATCCCTTTTCTTCACAAACACACACAAACACACACACACACATACACATACACACACACACAATCTCTCTCTCTCTCTCCTTATTTTATTCCCCTACTTTCGCCATCCCCACCCCCTCCCCCACTCACACACACACACACCACTGTAAACATTGTAATAATATAATGTGAAAGAGCTAAAACATGCGGTAGTGTCAAGAAACAATATTATGAATAACATATGATGGAAGTTACTGAGATTATTAGAAACTGACTTGATCGGCACAGAAAAAGAAACACTACTAGGCCAGAAAACAAACTGAAAGTGAGAGGCAATAAACTGCCGGTCCTGGCCTTCACTACTTTACTCATACTTTCTACACCCCCACACAAAATATCGACGTGCACTGGACCCGTTAAATATATGTAATAAGAACTGTCCTGTATGATGACAAAAAGTCAATTGATACTGTACCAGTGACCCTGTCCCAAGCAGATCAAGTCTACAATCAGATAGAATACAAAGCTGGACAAACTTAGTACACAACAGTTTCCGATCATTATATTATCAAATTTTCTTCATCGCACTTCTCACAACAGAACACTGTGTTGTAACAAAGTGGGGAAAATGTGTCAAATGCTAATTATAGAACTTGGTGTCTAGCTGGGGTGACGGTGGAAAAGGGGAGGGAAGGAAGGGGGTAGGCCTGGCCCAGAATCTGACAACCGAGTGCCTATCGCTCCTCGTTAAAATTCTCCTCATATATCTTCACTAGACAATTCCTCCTTCCGCCGGCCAGACTCCTATGGACCAGGTAAGTTATTAGTGGGGAGAAAACGATGAGTAAATGTCAAACACGAACTATAGGTGGTTAAAAAGTCAATAAATAAAAAAGATTAGTGACATGCTAACAATAAATGTTCTGATAGTAGTTAGAGAAAGGCTGAATGATAAATACATGTTTTGCTGATAAAATAATACATGTGTCTGTGCTGCTCAAGACAGTCTCAATCTTAATTTTGTAAGCTACAAAGAGGCCAATTTGGTAATTAAGGGATGAATTAATCGTTCTGAGGGCGGTCGATGGATTTGTCCATGGGACTGACGCTAGACGGTCAGAGAGATATAGTAGAATAAGAACGTATAGGACTGACGTCATCGCTAGGCCTAATCCCGCCGTGTGTTTGGCCTCGTACATAGTAGCCTACGAAGTTTCGCGACGTGACGGCTTGATGGTAGGGGAGATGATTTAAAGTTATGAGCCGGCGCGATAACAAACGTGAAGGAATGAGGCTCTGTTGCGACAAATAAATATCAGTGAATCCCACTTGTCTATTTGAGTGTCTTCCAATCGGCAAGGTGCTTTTGAATGTTGATACATGATGTTTGTTTGGATTTACTTAAAACAGAATGAAAATCATCATCAGCAATAAATCTCCTGTCAACAGTCCAGCTGAAAAAAATTTGACCGGCACCGCCGGTCTTGCCCAGTCAACAAACCGCCCCTGGATATCAGCGTAGCAGAGTCAGATACCAGTGTAGTTGAGTGAGCCAGATGCCAGTGTAGTAGAGTCAGATACCACGCAGTAGAGTGGGTCAGATACATACTCATCATTAAAATAGCTATAAATGGTGAAAACCACTTTAGACAAATCTATCATTGTGTCCAAGTGTTGATAACAACGGTAACCGGGCACCTAGTCTCAGTATCTACGTACACGGCAACCGGGCACCTAGTCTCACCTAGTCTTAGTATCTACGTACACGGTAACCGGGCACCTAGTCTCAGTATCTACATACATGGTAAACGGAATGAAAATAAATCAATATTTGTCCTGTGCTGTATTTGCTGAAAAAAAGAGAAAGTAATCGTCTTGTCTGGCTCGCCATCGTGACAGGTCAGTGAACCTGTGCGTGTGCATCACATTGTGAGTACCGGTTGGGGTCACCAAAGTTCTTTCTAAGTCTGCGCACTGCGAAGTAAAGGGCTCCGGAATAAGGGGGGTTATTTTTTTTTTTTTAAACGTACAGTCGAGAGAGTGGTGTGGATGAAGGCAACACCGGATGACAAAAACTGGATTTGGAGTTTTGAACTGCCCGGTTACCGTGTACGTGACACCAGAGAGTATTTGATTATATAGTCTCTGCTGACACCGAGACTACATGCCCGGTTGCCGGTTACCGTGTACGTAGACACTGAGGCTAGGTGCCCGGTTACCGTGTACGTAGACACTCCGTTTTGAAAATGACCGATGTCAAAATACTGCCCAAATCCATGAGAAAACAAAAAAAATGTGACTGAACACGTAAATAAATCGGGCGTCACTTTTGCACGCAGTAAGGGCCTCAAATATGCAAACAAGCTGAAACAGTGGGTCATCCAATCACAGGGTTTCCTGTAGCTGGTTTCGGTTTATCTCTAGGGCAAGGCAGAGATAGGAGGGCGCTTTTTCGGTAGTTCCCACCCCGCAATTGTTATTCACAGATTTTGGCCCCAAGAGTAGGGGGGTTTCAGGGGGGCTTGCCCCCCTGACCTAACAAAAATAGGAAGGGGGGTTTCAGGGGGGCATGCCCCCCTGAATTTTACCACAATTTAATGTTTTGCTATTGTTAGGTTTGATATCTTAGCTCATCGCGAATCAAAAGTATCTAGATCTAGATGTAGGTCAGGTGAAGGCTCAAATAAGGGGGGTGGGAACTACCGAAAAAGCACCGATAGGAGTAGGAGACATAAAGCTTTAAAGTCAACGTGCCTGTTTTCGTCCTTATAATTATTTTGACCGAACCGGTAATTTTACTCTATAGATCTAGAATCTAGATCTAGACTCTAGATCTAGATTTTCTAGATCTAGATCTATATCTAGATTTCTAGATCTAGATCTAGAATCTATACAATCCTAAGCCACTACGGCAATGGCTTGGATCGGCCGATCGCCCCGACTCGATCGCCTACTTTCACCCCAACTCCAACAGCCGGCTATCCCGAATCTGACCTTCACCCATGAAGTTATGATAAGGGTCTTACGGGTCTATCATCTGAACTATTGGCTATCGATTAGATGTATTCTAGATCTAGATTAGAAAGCTCAGTTACCTTTAGAAGTACTCTTGGCTTGGCGGCCAAACAAAACCGGAGATTGTCACGAATTTTGGATTCCTCACTTGAAATTAAGATTTGGCTCAGCTTTACACGTAGATCTAGATCTAGAGTCTAGATCTACGTAGACTTCTGTATCTGGACACAGTGTATATTTGCCGGACGGACGATCAGAAATAAACTGAACTTTGGAAGTTCGGAGCTGTGTGATATGATCTAGAAACTTGAACTTCTATCTCCAGTGCAGTGATCAATAGAGATTAGAGAACAGGGGAGAGGCAGGAGGTGGGGAATCGGCTGACACTACTGAAGCTGAAGTCGTAAAATAAAAACATTCGTAAAAACATTTCAAAGTTGCTGAATTTTTAGCTTCCACATATATGATCATTATACAATTATATTCTAGATCTAGATCTATATTCTAGATCTAGAGAAAAGAGTCAAACAATCATTTTGAGATCCAAAAGGATTATTGATCTATATATCCAGACAGCCTAATATAATCGATGCATTTCGGAAATTTTACGACACTTAGAACTATATTTGGAGTAAAAACAAAAGTGTCGACGTACTTCGCTAGACGAAGCACTTGGTGAATGGCGAATAGACCGCTGGTTGTTGAGCCGACGAACTCCTTATATTTCATTCTATCAGAATAATATTGACTGAAGCGTCTGAGGTGCCCATTTTGTATGATTCGAACTTTGGTAGGAATTCCATAACGAGTAACCACTTAGAAATAGAGGGTTAGGATTAAGGCTTGGGTTTGGGTTGGATTTGGCTTTGGCTTTGGGAGAGGGAAGTGGCTATTCTCACCCGGAATACGATCTATTTTGCCCAGAAGTTCTCGCGCTACTCCTCTCTCTCTCTCTTTCTCTCTCTCCACTGCCCACAGACAAAATTGCACGCTTTTAGGCTAACACTAACAGTAGTAATAGATCTAGATCTAGAACATTTGTTCACAGCACAGAATTCTATAATTCTGTTATCACAGTCACAGTCACAGTGTAGAATTCTGTGGTTCAGGGTGAACGCTTCACTGGTTGGCCTAACTAAGCTATAACTGTGAACACCCACTGAGTGAGAATAGCCAAAAGACTCGCCTGCGCTATTCTCACCCGGGGTGCGTTACCGACAGAGCTGGAAGTAACGGAGTACAAGTACTCCAGTACTTGTACTTACGTTACAATTTTCGGTACTTCTACTGTACTACGGTACATTTTGAAAACCAGTACTTTTACTGTACTCCGATACTTTTTATAAAAGTACTTTTAAGTATTTTAAAAGTACATTTTGAGTACTTTTGAAGCTTAATATGAAAGAGTAAGTCTTAGTAATTTTACACAACTAAATCTATCATCAATTATTTTGCCTACTAAAGAAGTGTAGGACTCTTTTATAATATTGATACGATTGGACTCATATTGCCAATGCACTGTTATTAAGAAATCAATATTTTTGAGTGCCAGATCTAGGTCTAGATCTAAATTGTCAAAATAGTTTTTTCTCCCCAAAATCAGTACTTTTTGATGAAATTACACCAAAAATGCCACTCAAGACATGTATAGGTTTATTCCAAATGCAAATCTGAATAATTCCATATAAGATACAAGAAGTGTTTTTTTTCTGTTTGTGATCGTTTTTCAAGATTATAAAAATTTTTTTTTAAATTTCAATATATATCGGATGTTATGATCCAAATGTACAAATATTATGGAATGTATGTCCTGCAAACTTTTCAATATTTTCCAGTTCTATATTCATTTATGGTTATTTTGATGCATCATTTGACCAGGTGCAAGCATGTTTTTTGAGTTTCACCAAAGATTATAAAGTTTTTATTTTCAAATTTTATCCGCATCCAATCAAAATTGTGTTGCATAATCGCCTCTTGCAGTAACCAAAGTTGAAAAATACGTAAATAAACATTACAGATGTATTTTACAATCCATACTGAAAATATTGGTATATATAATATGTTGATATTTATTAGAATTTGTGGCCCCAAAGACCTTTTACTGCCCACTAGTCATCATCTCATTCGCCGTCCCGAAAAAAATTCGTCCTCAAGCCGAAAATAATACGTAGCGAATGAGTTTACCCTAGAAGCCTATAACTAAATAGGTTAATGAAGTCATTTCGGGTTTTCCCGATACCGCTTTACTGAGTTTTTAGAAGGGTTGATCGCGTCGCAGTAAAAACGATGTCACTCAATTCATTCAGCAAATTGGACGCAAATATTAGTCTTTAATATCCAAAGTAATAAAGACACCGAAAAAGTAATTTAATAGCAGAACTATATTCTGCACTAAAAATCACATGCAGATGCCAAGTTTCATTCATATACTCCTATTCATTGCTGACTTATGAATAGTTTTCCTCAAAATACATCAAGACTTGGCCCGCTTTTTGGCGATATTTTCCTATATAATTTGAGTCTCCCAAACAAAAATCCCAATAACTTATTTGTTTATCAATGGATTTATTAAATTTAAAAACCAGTTCTTAGAATTTACTTTATTTTCATTTAAGCCCATTTTTAAGCAATTTGGATAAAAATTTAATTTTTCATTGTCATTGCTAAGTTGATTTAGGCCTACTTTACGGCTCAACAGATTATAAAAGGATATAAAACCATATCTTTTCTTAAAGCTGATAGAATGAGCCATTCAAAAATGATAAGCGATCTAATAAATACAAACAAAGCGCAAAACCCGATAAACTCAACAATTAGTACATCAGCACGGCGAAACAAGTGGTAACATTGTGTAGTCGCTCAGCTGGACTCCGCCACTTTATCGATCGATATCTTGGCCAAGAGACGCTCTACGAGGTCAAGATAACTTGCAAAGTCATTGGTCACTATTGATAACTTTGACCTGTAATTTACTACGTCATTTTCCATATTAGGAATACTTGAATTTTCCATTGAAGAAGGTCAGCGTCTATACACTTAATATAGGGCCCGCGTCCTTCGCGGTCGAAATATGTCAGCGTTATATATAGGGCCTGCACGCTTCCCGGGTAGCGCGGCTCACGCCCTTTATATAGGGCCTGCGCGCTTCCAGGGTTAAGTTAGGCCTAGATCTAGGTCCTGTTTAACTCACTTCAGACGGTTCACACAACAGTTGCGTGACCCCCGCCGCGACGCTCGCGACGGCTCCCACAAGCCCTGCATGACCAACTTGGGAATTTTTTTTCCGCTCTACAAATCACACACGGATCGCGAGACACGCCTCGTACCCTTGTTTGGCCAAGCCTGAGCTACTTAGACTTCGTTGAGCTACTTAGACTTCGTTTCGTATCTCTGGGGCCGGTAGTTTTTAAGTTATTGAAGGTGAAGGGCAGTGACCCCAACTGGGGTTGAACAGACCGGAACTCGCGCTTTGTTTTTTTCTATACAGCTGGATAGTAATCCGACAGTCGCGTCGTAGTAACGGTCGAAGAAGTCGCATGAACAAGAATCACATAATTTCGCCGTTTTCTATACTTCTGTACGTTTTACTAGTTCTAGTGTCTCAGAATATGATGTGTCTAATAGTTAGGATCCTGGATATGTACCCGAACACGGCCCGAGTCGTAGTTCTAGGGCTAGATCTAGCACTAGTACTGGTGTTGTTTTTCGCGCAACGAAATTACGTCGTGCCGTACATCTGTCTCATGTAATTCAGTGTATGGGTCTGAATCAATGCACGGACCAGCTTTTATATTTTCACCAAACACTCGCACATGTATACAAATCAAACCAGAACACTTTGAACTTTTATTTTTGTTGTTGCAGTGAATTTCATTCTACTTGTCACGTCTCTGGAAATTTTTCGGAAAATCAAATTCATGCCAATTTTTAAAAAATCATACAAATTAAAGTATTAGACTTAGACAACTTTAGTTTTTTTGTATTAGATTAAGCTTGAATGTTACTTTACTGTGTCAAAAAATAATTACAATAGGGTAACTACTTCTTGTTGGGACCTGAGAATGGAAAGTTTATTTTTCTTCATTTTCATCTTCTTACTCAAATCATCCACCTGTTACAGACTAGAATCATTTTTCTCCTGAAAGATGGATGGTCTGCTTAGACTATTTATTTGATTGTAATTGTAATTCTTTCAGTTCTGACTGCTTTGCTGGCAATCTTCCTGTTTTTGAGCCTTGGATGTGTTCATAACAAAACTATTTCAGTGGTAGTTTTGTACACTTTTAGAGAGATAAATCTGGTACTAGACAACAGAAGTAATGATACAAGTCTTAGTTCAATGTCATTTTTATTGAAATGACATGCTATTTTCAAAGCAGTGATGCTAGTGATTGAAGTCTTTGAATCAACTGCACATCCTTCTTCACAATTGATCTTTTAAGTTTTTAATGTTGTCTTTAAAGTGAAAACAGTGGTTGCAAAAGTATGTGAGAGCTTCAAGATGTTGTAACATTATGAAGATAAGCTTTTATGACATGCACGTCTTCACTTTGTTTCTGCTTGAAATTGAAACTTGGTTTTTATGAGTACAGATGGTTACACCCTGAGTTACTGTCCAACTCGTGGGGGTCAGTTTCTGTTATAGAAAGCATTTTATGATATATCCACTGCCTGCATTTGTTTGTAATGTTCTCCAAAATGGTAATGGTGGTTGATCATTTTCAAACTGACTCTACACAATGCAATAGAGCCATACTGAAAGTTAGTTGACAATTATCTTGATTTACAACCTTAGAGGGAAGACTTAATTTGTTTAGCTTTTTTCCCCCCTTCCAGATAGTTCTTTGTTGGCTGCCTTGTGTAAAATCACTCTGAGAGGAATACAGATGTCAACATGTTGGAGGTTGTAGCAAGTCTCCCAAGAGGACCAGTCTTTTTAGCTGGCGAGAGCTTACAATGTGATGTCATTTTTACCAACACTTCGACTGATAATCAGTAAGTGACTTGATTTTTTCTGATTGTATCAAAAGTGTGTTTTCCAGTGTCTGCGGAATAAAAATTCAAAGTGTCTTGCAGCATATTGAAATGAGGCTTAACTTTTGGTGATATTATTTCTTGATGTTGTCCCTTCTTCTTACTAAAACATGTGAAAATTACTTTGCCCAGAATCTTGAAAAAATGCAGTAAGGATCAACCCAGAGAAATTCAAATTTTGATAATACATGAAGATAGTTTTGAGGTTTGTCTGCTTTTAGTGCTTTTCAGATCTACACCTTACATATTTATACAATTGATGCTTAATTGCAAGTTTCCTCTTTTTCTTGTATTTTTGCACTTGTAGTGTACCTTTTTCTTTTAGAAATAGTAAGAATATCAGATACAATAGTCTCCGCCTAAGATCCCACCGCTTACGATCCCGGTTCAGTTAAGATCCCGTTGTTTTAGGAAAACATAATTTTTACTATACAAAAGTCACCCCTAAGATTCCGCTCTGATGGTCTACATCCAGCTAAGATCCTGCATTTCAGATTATAATTTGCGAAACAAAAACCCGGACAGGCATAGCCGATCAACCAAGAGTGAAAAGTTGAGATCAACAAACTGTCCGTCGCATCAAAGATCAGTCACTATCGTGAATGTGATCACATACACGTTGTAAAACTCGATGAAGCGATACAATGTTTGCCCCAGACGGGATCACACCGGGGTGTGAACTGACCTACGCGTTTGTTTTCCCCACGCATCGCACTCACACCTGAGCTCTCCCCCTAAACTTACATCACTCGCTGGATGGGTAGGGCCTACATGTTCACTCCAGACGGGATCACATTGAACTGTGAACTCTTCCCTGACCATTGCAGCAGTTGTCTCTACTCCCGAATTTGCGAGACAGACTGGATTTTAGTTGATGTGTTCGCAATGCAATGGTGTGTAACGGCAAAGGCAGGTTGGGAAGGGGGGGGGGGGCTCGGTCAGAGATGGAAAGCTATAAATTTTCGACAGGTAAAGGGGAGGGGAAACCGGATTAGCGTAAATCTTGAGACTCATGATAGGATCATAAGTGAAAATGGCACGCCTCATGCCACTATGCACCGTGATAGGTCATCAAGGTTAACCACTCTTTGCTCGCCATATACCATAAACCCGCCAAGAGGGCACGTCAGTTCATTGTAGAGTGGAGGGAGACCATTTTACCGATTGTGAGCCTTAACATGGGTCACCATAGATTCTTTCCTGGGTTCGTCGGTTAAGATCCCGGTTCGCCTAAGATCCCACATTTCCTTGCTCCCGAGCACCGGGATCTTAGGCGCAGACTACTGTAATTTTCTCTTTGATTTGTCTATTCTCATCTTTATGTATGCATTGGGTCATAAGTTTGTGGAATAATTTTTTTATGTTAATTAGTTAATGACATAAAAGGTGTATGTTTCTTTTGATATTAACTTTTACAAGTTCCCATTTCTTGTCACAGAGCTGTAGATGAAGTGTTGGCGTGGTCCAGTGTACAGATCATTTGTCAGTGCACTGTCAGTGAATCTCGAGTCCAGCTTCCTCGCAAAAATTCGTTGTCAACTGAAGAGGCATCAACGACAGGATGTGACACATCATTCATTCCTAACAAAGGTACATGTGTGCAGTATGAAAAAGTTGTGCCCTGAGATTTGATAACTGTTGTTTGTTTCGTTCCTCTGAAAATCACTTTTCTTTGTTTTGATGGGTTCTTGAATTGGTGTTTTGTGTTTTCACTGATAAGCCAAATTTGAATCTATTGTGTGCTATTTTTCACATTAAAAACTGTTTGCAGCTTTGTTGTTGTTTTTAATAAATTGAAATTGAGGCCCTTGACTCTTCAATGTTTGTTTGTTTTTTTTTGCTTATATAAACACAGGTTCTGGCAAAGCATTAAATCATCGTGCTTTGCATTCTGCCGAAGAGATGGGCCGTGCTGCTCAAGTTAAGCTGCTATATAATCTTTTTAAACCTCTCCCTGCTCTCATTTTGATGTTTGTTTTTTTGTTTTGTTTTATTTTAAAAGAAAAATTTGTATTATTTTTCAAATTTTACGTGCTATGGTATAAATGCTGTGCACCTCTAAGTCATTTGTCAAGGTTTAGTGTAAGGAGAAAGTATACTTAATAAGAGAGGGAGAATTCCTGTGTTTCCATGTTATGTCATTTTTTTTTTTTTGCAGTTGAGTTAATTAGTCTGTCGCTCCTCTGTGACTGTTAATTCCAATTTAATATTGTAATTGATGATTTCAACTTTTTGTTTCTTTTATTGTTTCTCTTTTGGAAGTTGATAATAAATTTAAGAAAAATATTTCTCTGGACAATTCATGTCCTCAAATGTTTTAATAAAAGTGATTAATTTTGAATCTAAAATGATTAATTTTGAATCAAATATCTTGGTTTATAGGATTTAATTTTGACAAATGACTCAGTTTACGTAGATGCACAGCAAATGGATCTTCTTATGGTGTATTTTTTCTTTCATCTGTTTTTTCTTGTGCCATATGCTGCCATACGCTTTTTATAAACATACATTATTATTTTTATCAATGGTCAACCCAAAGTGTTTAAATGAGTAATTGTTGTCCTACGTCTAAGAATTTCATTGAGCTTTTTGTGAGATGCTCTACTTTTAATTTTGGTGTGGTGGAAATTGCATGATTCTGTGATTCAGTTCAGTTTGATTCAAAAGATGTTTTCCTTTTTGAAAACATTGGTGTTTTTTGTTTTACCAATTTTTGTGTGGGTTTTTTTTTGTTGGACAGTCATTATTTTGCTTCTTTTTTTTTTTTTTTTTTACATTTCTACTATTGTATGGGAATTTGTTCATGGAGTGGGAACATTTTTTGAAAATTTCAGCATGTTCCTTAGACAAGTTTCATGTTTTCTTTTATGGTTTTCAAGGTGTTTCTGAAATATTCTGCTTTCTGCATTGGTGTATGATGTTAATTGTTGAAAGTCATTGCATATATGAAAAATGATTGTATTCAAAACAACAAAAAGTTTCCATTTTCAAATCTAGTAAATAATAATGTTTTTTATGTATCAGTAGCTAGATTCTTTAAAAATGACTATCTGTTTACACATCCATTGAAATTCATTTTACTGTTAAGCAAAAACCTGTGAATAATGCACATGAAATTGGAAGTGATATTGGAATAGATAGGCTAATTTTGTTGTAATAAATGCTATACCGGTACTTTTCTTTTACCATATAACCAGCTGTATCAGATATAAATTGAATCAGCTCCTTTTAAATGGTTAAAAGCCTGTCCTTTTGAAACAATGGCTGAAGATACCCTTGTGGTAAGTTACAAGGCAACATTTAAAAATCTCTCCTTTTTGGCCATTTAAAAAAAATCTCAAAGGCAATATATGGTTTATCAAAAATACTAATAAAGATAACATATTATGCAATACTTGTTGTTGTAGTAGTTATGTTTTTCTTTTAAATTGCACGTTGCATTTCAACTTTGTTTTGTCTTTTATTACAGGGGAAAGAGGCCTGACTGTTTTATGCACAAAGCCAAAAATTTTATTCTGTGATCTCAAATTATCCCCTGGCATGTCGAGATCATGTGAGTATTATGTGTCAAGACACATTCAGTCAATATCTTCTTACATACAGTTTTCTTGTGTCTTTTTCTTTTTACTGCGATTATATTTTCATCCAAAAATAGAATAGAAGCCACAGAAATATGGTTTCTTAGGAGACTGCTGAGAATATTGTGGAAGGAAAAGGAATGAAATGAGGTAGTGCTTGATGAGGTTTACGTGGGACGCTCACTGTTAAAAACAATAAGGAAACAACAAATGCTGTTTTTAGGACACCTGAATAGACATAAAGGTCTTGAACATCTAGCTCTCACTAGGAAAATTGAAGGCAAATGAGGCAGGTATAGGCCCAGAGCAACCTACTTAGGGAACCTAAACAAATGGGTAACGGGGAAAGATCAGGGAAATGTAGCTTTTTTAAGATCATCCGAGCAAAGGGATGAATGGAGAACCATGATCCCCGATGTCTGTCACAGATCTGACACTGGATGATGATGATGATATTTTCATCACACTCACTTACTGTTACTTCTCTTTCTTTCTGCCCATCATTGTTCAAATGGCTCTTATCAAATTTTGTGTTACAGTTATTATATTTTGGGGCAGAAATTATGTTTATGGTGATGGATCTTAGATGAGTGTTGGGTTCCAATGAAAAATTGGTTAATTCACTTCTTTCTCTTATTTAGCCTATTTTATCATGAAAGAAAAAACCGATATGGAAGAGGAAAAGGTTTTAAGAAAAAAGTTTGATTAAACAACTAAATAGTTTCAATGGATCACCAGCGTAAAACATGGGTCAAAACAGCTAGCTCATGAATGGAACAGCAAGTGGCTATTTTTCTCTCATTGCTTGATAGTGAGCAAACACCATTTGTTTGTGCATCAAGAATCTGTTAGCAGGGGAACCTTGTGACTCATATGTTGGCTCACGGATGTGAAGTCCACAGATGAATTAGATACTGGTCTATCTATGTGTAGCCAGGATGTAGATGCATAAATGTGTTCCAAATATCATAAATACAGTCGCAATTGTCCATCATAAATACAGTCGCAGTTGTCTTAGAAAGTTGGATGTCTTGGAAACTGTCATTATAAAATAGGAAAAGTGGGAAGCGGTCATTTGTACAGGTCATTGTTTCGGACAGGTGGCTGTTAGAGCAGGTTCACCATTATTACGAATAGGAATAAATAGGGAATAACATTATATCGTTGCTGTCACAAGCAATCCACTTATGTTCGTTTGGGTACTTTTTACTCCAGAGACAAAAAACTAGTGTTTGCTTTGTTATTCCTATCAGGAATCATGAAAAGCAAGAAAATTGTCAACCTTGACCATAGCATTGAACTGCATTTTGGAGATGTTGAAAGATGCATCTTTAATAGAGCTTTGGGAGAGGGCAAAAACTGAAAATTCTCAAGATTTGGATTAAAGTGAATTGCTTGTGATAGTGACAACATGCAGTATTGAAAGTTGGGGAGATGTGATTGAGGCTGTGTAGCTTTTGTCAATTTTATTTTCATTTAAAATGATAAGATAAGATACATCTTTATTGTCCAGATCCTGGCACATTGGTTTGGTGTTTCACCACATGTACACACACACACACACATACACACACACACACACACACACACACACGCACATGCACACACAGACAGGCTTACAATCACATGCTTTATATAAATGAGCAGCAATATAAACAATAATAATCTTAAGCTAGGTACACTCTCAATGTTATTCTGATGCATGCTCTGAGGTCGTAAGTATACTTATACAAGATGGTGAAGACCTATATCTTTCTTTGTTACAGATCAGAAGCCTTGGTCTTTTGCTTCTGACTGATGTTTTTTTTTGAGGGAACAAGGGATGTTGATCATTATTGACAAAAATACTTCAGACCAATTCATTGTCCTTTCACTGTTCACCTTTAGTCACTGTCAAGGGTTGTGGTAGAATGTGGAAAAGGTAGTCGCCGTTATTTTAAAATATTTGTATTCCTTTCTAACAGATACGTTTGAGGAGGTAATTCCAACTGATGCTCCACCTTCTTTTCGTGGGCAAGCTGTTAAGTACTCCTATAAAGTTATTGTTGGCACCCAAAGGTTGGAGAAGGCTACAAAAATGGTGCGAGTTCCCTTCAGAGTATTAGTGTTGTATGGTAAGTTTGTTTTGTGGATTTATTACAATTATTTAGTTTTAAGGTTAAACATGAATTTTGAAATTCCTCGGACAATTGTCTTTTCATATTATTTTGTGTCTAAAGTTATTGTATCTTTGCAATGTGAGGCACTTTTTTTTACCTCAATTGTTGAATGCTAATAAAAAGTTTTAGTTTGAAATACCATCCGAGTCCATAGAGGGGATGATTATTTATTCCTACATCTTTACAGCTTTTACATCTTTTGTTTATGGTATTTGTCAATGTTACATTTTGTTGCTCTTTGGCAATTTAGGACTTTAACCCTTCAGTCTGACAATCTGCATATTGTCTAACCTTGTTAGCAATGTGACATGCAGGTTATTCTTTGAACACATATGTGTATAAAATGTTTGTTTGGTTTTATTTTGCTTTTCAGGTCTCAATGACATTAGTGTGTATAATGAAACAGAAGAAATTGCGCCCAGCAATCCATTTTTGCACTACCAGAGAAAAGAAAATTCTGTCTTGGATGTGGCGTTACAAATCATTTCTACAGTCACAGCAAGAAAAGCCCCGCGTAAGTATACATATTCGGTTATGAATTTCTTTTGATGAGATCTTTATAAAGACTTAGTGCAGAGTTGTCCTGATAATACATTTGAATGAACAAAATGAGGACCTGAAAATCCGTTTGCCATGTGCATGCTAGATTGTAGTCATTCTGGGCTGATTCCTCAGAAAAGTACTGTCACCCAAAGTTTTTGCACTCCATGTTTTCACACTTGTTTAAGACAACATCTCTTAGCATTTGCCTTGGGATGCTTCAACATCTCTTTGCATTTGCCTTGGGATGCTACAACATCTCCTTGCACTTGCCTTGGGATGCTACAACATCTCTTTGCACTTGCCTTGGGATGCTACAACATCTCTTTGCATTTGCCTTGGGATGCTACAACATCTCTTTGCACTTGCCTTGGGATGCTACAACATCTCTTTGCACTTGCCTTGGGATGCTACAACATCTCTTTGCATTTGCCTTGGGATGCTACAACATCTCTTTACACTTGCCTTGGGATGCTACAACATCTCTTTGCACTTGCCTTGGGATGCTACAACATCTCTTTGCATTTGCCTTGGGATGCTACAACATCTCTTTGCATTTGCCTTGGGATGCTACAACATCTCTTTGCACTTGCCTTGGGATGCTACAACATCTCTTTGCATTTGCCTTGGGATGCTACAACATCTCTTTGCACTTGCCTTGGGATGCTACAACATCTCTTTGCATTTGCCTTGGGATGCTACAACATCTCTTTGCACTTGCCTTGGGATGCTACAACATCTCTTTGCATTTGCCTTGGGATGCTACAACATCTCTTTGCACTTGCCTTGGGATGCTACAACATCTCTTTGCACTTGCCTTGGGATGCTACACACATCTCTTTGCACTTGCCTTGGGATGCTACAACATCTCTTTGCACTTGCCTTGGGATGCTACAACATCTCTCTGCATTTGCCATGGGATGCTATTCTGAATCTGATGCCTTTCATTTAATATTTGCTTTGTCTTTGGCTGTCCAGTCCTCCTCTCAGTATGTTTCTAGTTATTTAACCTCCCGACTCTGATACTGGTAAGATTCCAGCTCTTTAGCACACATACTTAGAACTTTCATATATCACTTATGATTTTTTTCCCCCTCCAGATTCATACAACATTACGAATAGTCGAGGTCGAGTAGCAAAGTTTTTACTCTTCAAACAAGCCTACAAGCTGGGAGAGGACATTGTGGGCATGTTTGACTTCAGTGAAGGAACTATTCCCTGTGTCCAGGTGAGACAGTGTGACCATTAGGGGAGTACATATCCTGTACGTGCATGTAAGTCTTTCTCTAGGGATAGCTATTCCCTATTTCTATGCGACTGATTTTTTAGATTCTCATGGTGTGTTAATGAAAAAGAACTTAAACTTTGACAAATATTGATCAAAATAGATTATCAACCCCTCAAACTATTGCAAATTGAAGAGACAATATTAACATGTAACATGTGTGGAAGTAGAATGTGCATAGAAAGGATTATGAGAACAGAAAGTGGGGAAAACAGATGAATAAGAACACCACTTGAAGCAGTAATCTGTAGTTAAGGGGACTTCTGGTTCTTGATTTGAAGTGGTGAGTCGGAGGGAAAGAGGTAAGAAACTTCTTCACACTCCGTTGTATTTCATATTATGAATATATCCAATAGGAAAAATTTATGTTATCAGGAAGGACATTTTTTTGTCACTGCTTAGACGATTTGAGATGACTTCTGTTCTAATCAAAGTGCTTATTTATACTAATTTACTTCTTTATTTCCTGCAAGCCGCTCCCAGCAGCTCGCAGTCGGAACCACTGTGCTGGTGAGCAGCTGACAGCGGCTCGGGCACATTTTTAAAAAACTTTTCGGCAATAAACAGGTCTCTTTTATCGGGATATCATTCATTAGATGAATATCTATCAAAATAATTTCATTTGTTTTGGTTTAATGACCAATTTAGTGACGTTTTTGTCATTTTTAGATTTAGTACCAAAAAAGGGCCTCGGCACAGTGGGTTTGTCCCTGTTGGAGATAAAGAGTTAAAGACATGTGCTGAAACAACTTCACAGTAATAACTCCCTTGGTTGACTTGTTCATTCCACATTATGATTAAGTCCCCTAGAGGATATACAGTGTTGCAATATGCTAAGTGTGCAAAGTGAAACTCAGTAAAAATGAAGCTGTCAGACCTGACCTTCTTTATAGCAATGTGAGCTCCAAGTCGTGTCATAATGTAGGGTAAGCAGACGACAACATCTGTTTCCACAGACTATAAGATATCGAATAAAAGGGGGGGAGGTGGACAAGTGGTCCAGAATTAATAAATAAGCGGGGGGGGGGGGGGGGGGGGGGTTAGCACATTCAACTTCATACCCCTGTACTAGTAGAAACAAATCTGTTTTGTTTCTCCTTCAGTGAATGAAAGAACAAGAGATCATGAAATTTTAGTGATTTTAGTAGGTTACTGTGACAACTTTTCCCATTTAGGAACAAACCAGTTTCACTAAAAAATATAAACCAATGTACAAAAGTTTTTAAAATGTGCAGAAAATTGAGTTAGCCAACCTGGTACCTGTACAGTAGTCTCTGCCTAAACGCACGCCAAACAAAAGCACGCTCGGCTCAAACGCACGCTTTTGTCATCTGACGGTTTTTTTTACTATATAATTTAGATGTACAAACGCAGGGTCACTCCCTCTAAACGCACGCTCCGATCTGCGAAACACGCTGACACGTAAAGCTTGACTAAGGGAAATTTTCACTACGACTACTGTAGCCTACGATCTGCACAGCTTGCATAAGACAAGCCTAGAAAAACAGATACATTGTATTTGGCGAGACTGCCCCTTACGCCGAACAAAGAGTGTGATGGACAGCGTATTCACAACCAACTTTCCAGACACATAGGTCTAAGACTGGTAGATGAAATGTTGGCGGGTTAGGGGGACTGAAACGTTATTTGATTGGTCACTGGAAATGCATCTCTTTGAGAGAAGGTTTCTGACTGGTGTTTGAGTGACTGCGTGTTGGCTAATGTTTAGTTAGACCCAAGCCTATGATGCGCAACACGCGTGAACGCTCGTTCATGAATTTACGGTCGGGGATGGTCGCTTGGAAAGCCAAGTGGCTGGACCGTCGTCTCTATGACTATCACCAACAATTTCTTTTTAGGCTATTGATTTCCGGCATTTTATGGTGCATCCTTTACATCTAGTCTGTCTTCCCCCCCCCCCCCCCCCCACACGCACACACACCCATTCAACACCTTTGCAGTCTTAACCACAATCGGGGAATCTTTTACAAAACAGTCAGGTGTCGTCACATTATCGGCCCAAAGTGACCCCCACCCCAAAGGGAGGTAACTAGAATATCAAGGCAATGAGATGACTGTGTCCCTTCCTCCCTTTGCTAAGGTTCATGTAAACGCACGCTCCGTATAAACACACACTAAGGAGCCCTCCCGAGCACCGTGCGTTTAGGCGGTGACTACTGTACTGTTTGTTGAATCTGAGTTATTTGCTGATTTTAATGAATTGAAAATGTTGGGACTCTGTCTTCTTTCGTTAATCTAAGTTTTTGTTTAATCCGATTTTAAAAAATCTGAGTTTCACTGTACCATTGTTATTTGAATATTCTGTCTTTGCCTATTGCCAAGCACATATTTTCAGCTCAGTGTACTAGGGAAAATAGGATAAATTACTTTTCTATGGGATACAATGTCTTATCTTATGGAGCTTGGAATCCATTTTGCAAATAAGCTTGTCACAATGACATACAGGCATTTTTAAAAGTGAGAATGCAGGGCTAGCCAACATTGTTTGAGTTGAAATGCTTACACTTTCAAAGTAGTGGAAAATCGTTGGTTACTGCACATTTTGTGACCAAATATTTTTAAGATTCTTAAATGAGAAAACGCAAGTTGGAATAATGGAGATGAACCATTTTCTCACCAGGGCCTTCAATTTTATCCAGTATTGTCTGGTTCGTATTATAGCATGTTGCTGAGAAATAGGCTTGAGAAGTTTTTAGCATAAAGATTACATCTCATGAGTGTCGCGGAGCAATTCTACAAGTACTTTTTATTGGAAAATGTGACTGTATTTCTTGTGTTATATTGTCTTGCAGTATTCTGTGACTTTACAAAGTGAGGAGCAGATATCTGAGGAGTGTCGTCGCAAGCCAAGCCAGGGAACAGCTGTCACTTCCTATGTCAAACATCAAGAGATGTGTGTCCATACAGTGAGGACTCATATGAATATTCCAATACCTCTGACAGCCACGCCAGGTTTCATTACAGATATTGGTGAGAATTTACAGTTTTTCTGTTTTAAAATGTTTCATTTATAGCTTGTTTACTTTCGTCTGACCGTGGTTAAAAGAGGATAAAATGAAATGGCTCTGTTTATTTTTCTCAGATCTTTGAATATGTTTCTAAAAGTTGGATGAACAACAGAGTCTAAAAGCCCATTCATAAAGGTCACTGCAAACTAAGGTTCTGTCATGTTTTCTTTGATGTAAGGCAAATGCAGGTCAAAAAAGGAATAGTGGATTTACAGCATACTCCTAAAACATAAAAAAATTTACATATTTTCCTCAGCACCACACTCTAACTGTCGCCTTAGAAACAAAATTCAGAGACGGGGTGAGTGTTTTTTTAGACTCACGTGGAGCATCTGGAGATGTCTAGAAAGTGAGGGGATGAAATCTTCAAGCTTACAGTAAAATAAGGGAGCAGGGTGGTGTTGCTGTCTTAAAATGAGCAATTTGTGGGCAAGGTTACTGTAAGCCATTTATTTTAGCAGTCCTGTGTATGCATCCAAAAAGTGGTGTCTAATATAGGGCCCAAAAAGAAAAACTTTAAAAAAAAACGGGATTAAAATTTGTTTAAAAATATTTGTGTTTGGTCGCTAGCTTGCCGAAGTGCCATACAAAGTTTTGCAGGCATAGGTGAATTAATAAATGAGCTACATTTTTTTTTACGCGGTCAGAAGAAAGTGAACAAGCTATTGCAAAGTATTGTTGCAATGAAAGCGTGAGATTCCCTTGGGATTTTTTGCAATATGTAATAGTTTCAGTTGCAGGCTCTCTTCTTTATTTGAGATGTAATGTCAACACGTGAAAGTAAGCCTCCATGCAAGGACTTTGTTTAGTTTCAAACTTTGGTAACTTTCATGTTTGAGATATTTCGTTTGTGCTAGAGTTGACTGGAATACTTTCTATGCAATGTTGCTTTTATTTCATTATTTTTTTCTGTTTACTGTGCATGGTCAAGAACAGTTTTATTTTGCCTACTTCATATTTGATACCTTAAGTTATGACTGAGATAAACAGAGAGACCTTTTAAATCATATTCGTTTTCATTTGTCCTCAGTATGCCAAAGATGGAGGCTACATTTTGAGTTTGTCACATCACTTGATGAGATTGGCAGTCCAGCGTCCTTACCAGACGATGGAGAAGAAAGGCAATGGCAAGGTCCCTCTATGCTCAATGTGGAAACAATGGTCTGGGACTTGCCCATAAAAGTATTTCCTACTAACCCCATTCATGCTTCCAGCGTTACTTTGATGAAAACTTCGTCCTCGATACACATTGGACACTGAAAGAATGCAGTTTCTCAATAGTGTAATATGTGGGAACAAAAATATATAGTAAAGAGCTATTTCTTATCTGATTCTGTGTTTGATCAGAGCCAGAAGCTCTCAAAACTTGGGTATTAAGTGCAATCGCCTCCTTCATCATGTGATCATTTTGGTTTGTTGAAGAATGAAGAAAAGATTTGAGTCCACAGTAATATTTTGTTCACAAGTTGTGTCCTGTCGGAGAAGGCCACACTGTTCTTGACAGTCCATGTCATGGGCACTCCCTGCCTTCTCTCCAAGTCAACTGAATGTGCAGGACCCTCAAGTGAATACAAAAAATTGGTGTCAAAATTGCAGTATGCAGCCTACCCTATTTCTTAAACACTGAAGTCATTTACCATAATATGTTTAAATTTTACTTTATCTAAATTCCACAAAAAAAGTTACATTGCTGTGTGTTCTTTACAAGTCATTAATTGGTATTGTTGGCCTGGATAATTTGGATTTTTTAAAAAGTGGTTTGTCCAAAATTATATGCTGAGACTTTTAAAACCTGTATTTGGGCTTTTTAGAAAGTTTCCATATATACAGTCGAACCTGCCTTAACGGAAACCTGTATAAAATGGAAACCTGTCTTAACGGAATCTCCCCGCTCCCCCCTTGATATATTCCTCTTTAATTACCTGTATAAAACGGAAACCTGTCCAATGCGGAAACTGAAAAAAAAATCTGCTCCCTTTCTATGATTTCACCTGTCTAAGACGGAAAATGCTTTGCCCCTTCAGCCCTGATTTGAAACAAAACTCGCAAGTTTGGTTCCGCCGGCTATAAACTTAACGCTATGACCATGCCGCAAGTCGAGGAAGGGGAGTAGGGGTGCAATTTGGGGGTAGATGTTACCCCATCATGCGAGCCCTGAGCGATGCAGATGGTCAGTGTAGTGTGGGTGTGAAATCTCACAACGGCCCGTGAAAGTGCTCGAGTAGCGAGCCACTACGGAAACTTTCCTGGGTACCCAGAAGCCAGAGGTGTGAAATTAGTTTGACCAATGCCTGCCGCCCTGATCGTACGCCAGCCAAGAAAAGAGTTCCTCAAATGGTAGTTACAAGATGGCAGTGAGGGATGGCATTAGTTGACTGTGCTTGTTACACCGATGGGTGGGGCTAAGGGTGGAAGCAAAGGAGATGTTCAAACGTTTTTGTTTTTAATAGGTCAAACAGTGGTCCTATGAAAGGCAAACACTGATGGTAATTGGATAAGTAAGACTGACGCATGTCATTATCAGACAGGATAGCAGCTGAGAGGTGTGAAGTTTTGACCACTGCTTGCTGATCGGACTAGCAAACCTTGATCCCACCGGCTAGGCTTTTGAACCCCCCCCCCCTTCCATCTCCCCCTAAATTCCCCTGTCTAAGACGGAAAATGTCTAAGATGGAATTTTTTTCAGGCTCCCTTGCGATTCCGTCTTACACAGGTTCGACTGTATATTATATGAAGGTGGCTTTGTCTTCCTGTCATTCTTTAATTACCAACTGTTGTATTAATGCTTTCAGGGAAGGTGAGTACAAGCTTCAACTGTATATAGTGTATGAAGTTTTGTTTGATGTTCACTTTGCCTGCCTTTCATGTGGAGAGGCAAAATTACTTCAAGATGTGTAAACACTCATAATAATTGTAAAAGCTTGCATTTATGTTGTGCTCATCCCAACTTCATAGTGGACTCTATGTACTTTCCATAGGTCCAGCAGACTCAGTAAAATTCTGAAAGGTTCTGTTTTTTTATTAGCATCAAGAACACATCTAAGCTTTCAGTACCATAAAAAAAAAGGATACGCCTGGACACCTTCGTAATGAGACGGTTGTGTGTCACAGCAAATTCCTGGTTCTCTGTTGGACTTTGGTGTAGAGTCAGGAAAAACACAGTTGGTTACTTGCAGCTAATTATTTTTACTTAACATTTTGTTTTAGCATGTTGTCCCCATAAAACTCATTTTTCGAAGTGGATACCACTTATGCAATGCAAACATGGCCTGAGATTCACTTACTGGAGGTATGAATATATTTAATATTTTACCTCTGAAGTCTGTTGTTTGATTACTTTGATAGAGATTAGTAGGTATTTTAGCACCAGACATCCAAAAACAGTTTTCCAAAGAACAGTAATAGTGAGCTTGATGAAATCTCCATCTTGTGCCCTCATGATAAACAAAAATCATACCCAGAAAGTGGCCTTGGGCAAGGTTTCTAGCAACCTAGTCAAAAAATTGGGTCTTGGGTTTGAGGGCAGTTATAAAATTTTAATGTTTCTTATTTGGCTCTCAGCAGCTCGCCTTTTTCCTAGTTGTGTTCCATGTTGAGTGTCTTTCTGTACAAGGAGACCATGATGGCCCCAAGTCTTCCAGGGATTAAACTTTAGGCCACTCACTTGGTTATCTATCCAGTGTACTGCCAGCCTCAGACTGTCAGGTTGAGCTTGTTAAAGGAATGTTCTTACAATCTCTGTAGAGGTTGAAACTGTTTGCTGTAGATGTGAAGGCAGTGAAATCTTTGTTTTGGAATGAAATGTTGTTCATGCCATAATCTGTTAGTCTGAATTGTTCTGCAAATGAGTACACATTCTTACTCTTCTCTTTGATGCTGATGCCACATTTAATTTTTTAACTTAAAACTGACCACTGATTATTTCAGTGCACACCTTGGTGTCTGATGTGTCTTTATAGCCAAAGAAGTTTACCTTTCTTTTTTTTTTTTACTAGAGGACCTATTTATATTTCATAGGTGAAATGTGTTATATCCAAGTATTTAACATTCTTTTCTAAGCTGCTTTCTTTTTTAAAATAAGATTCTATCATGCAAAAGCATCTGACACCAATGTTATGAATATGTCAGTCTCTTTCGTATGCTCTTTTAAGAAAGTACTTTTGTCTGTTTCGAAAAAACTTAGGAGACTTTGATTAAGATGATGTCAGAGGGTCTCAGAAAACATCAATTATTTAATCATTAATTAAGAGTGACTTGTCTGTTTCTGACCCTTTGCGCAATTTGATTGCAGATTAGTAAGAAAAATAATAAAGCCAGCCTTATGTCCAAAATTTTTTTTTTATCAGAGTTCATTTTAAGCTCAAGTCAAGTCCATAATGCTATTGGTGACGAGGATGTCATGGGTTTGAATAAAACTTATTTCTTGTGTACTTGTGATGCTTGCTATGCTGAGAATGAACAAAATGACCAGTGGTTTATCTATAAATTGTGTAGTTGTTGTTGGGTATGTACATAAAAGGGAAAAATCACTTGAAAGTTGTATTGTTTTCCATGTGTTGTGAACTCCTCTTTTTGAATGTTTGAAATGGATTTGAACTTTGCTACTTTTTTTTCTTCCTGTGAATAGAATTATTAATAATTTACCTTGTACATGTGTGTCATATGTTACATCAATTTTTTATCAGATGTCATTTTATGAAAACTTTGTCACTGGTAGCAAATTGGTAGGCTAATCATCACTGTTGTAAGCTATATTGTTTTGAGATGTGATTTACTCATATCTTACTTATGAGAAATTTCTGTGGATGTCGAAACTATCAGGACTGGTTAGTTTGGTGATCAGTTCAATTCAGTTAGAACTGCCTTAACTTTTTTTTCTGATTTTGGGGCTGTCAAAAAAGGTTCAAGGAAAACAACATAAGAGTTCAAAATTTCAGAATATGTAAATTTTGTTGCATTGTCTGTTATTAGCATCAAAAGAGGGCATTATTTTCATGGCATTAAGTTCAACGCGAAGTGCATTTTAATGCAAAACCAATTTCTCTGTGACCACACAGTGCATTGAATGATGTCGTGCTCTTGCATGAAGGAAATAACAAATAATGCACTCTTAAGAAATCTAAACTCATATGAAAACCGTACTTAAGTATCATATCTTGATTTTCATTATCTGAAATATTTACCGGAGGTAAGAGTTAGTAAGAGATAGATTTAGTGGTTTCCGTACTGAATCTGGAAATTAAAAGCTTTCAACAAACATGACTCACAAACAGAGCTCTGAATATAATATTTTATTTCAGTGTAAGCATTATTCACCATCCAATTTCCAACGTAATGCAGTATGATGTACTTTATTTTTATTTATTTTTTAAATGTATTTTTTTTTTGGGTGGGGGGGGGGGGGGGAGGCATACTTTCCTTTTATTAATTATATTTGTTCCTTTTAAACCGACCCTCGAAATTTCTCCATCTTACAATGGAAGGGGTTCATAAGTGAAAGGGTTAAGCTTGCATGTTCTTTCTGTCGACTGAATTCTCTTACATGCTGAGAAAGCTTAATAATACTAATAATATAATATAGTAATAGTTGTACTGTTGTATCTGAAGTTTACAAGTAAAAGAGTTCACCCAGCAGAATAAATCAAAACTTAGTTAGGGCTCCCATATCAATGATATACGGCGGTAGATGAGTCAAGTGGATGAAAAGCAAGCGTCTTTTGTATGGAATTTTGTCATTCTCCTTTTGACTGAAATACGGGCTGCACACTAAATTTCATATAGTCAACACACTGTAGAAGCTTTTCAAACTTCATAAATGTCCTTTTCATCTTTCCACAAAAATGTCCATAGCATACGACAGTAGCTGAGAGTTTCATCGGGAATACGTGCAACAAACCGACATATTTTTGTAAGTATTGAAATGCAGGGTTAGGATTAGTTTGGATTCCTGGTTCTATGCCGCGGGGTTTTTGTTAGAGATAGATTTACAAAATCTTCACATGTGGTGGCAGTATTTACATGTCTGCTCTTCATTTGCTTCTGAGACCATCGTGTTATGTCCATTTTATCATTAAACAAATATACAGGTTTCATTTTGCTATTTTAAACATGCAGGCATTCTTTCTCCCTTGGTTCGTAACATCTTGTCATCATTGCCAATTGTTTGTCCTTCATTTTGACCTGTTGATAGTGCATGAGGACGCCTGTAGATTTTTCCTTCAGACCATTCAAAACATTGTGGTAGTCCGTAGTGCAATTTTGTGTATGATCATTAATGCAAGTACGACTGAAGCAGTTCATACCTGTGTTGAAAGCTGTATTGTTATCTCGCTGTGTCTATTGAGGTCTTATAATTTTAAGTTAAATGCTTTTTTAATTAATTTTTTTTGTCTCTTGGGTGCATTGGGTCTGCGGCTTGTTAATTTTACTATTTATATCTAGGTGGCCTTGAGAAAGGCATGTGATGTTTTAGTAGTACTCTGCCAAACAGGATCTAGAGTAATCTTAGCTTCCTATATAAAATGTACATGATATCTTGTAAGCTATAGACATCATCATGGTATGTCTAGAATTTTAGCTCATGAATGTTTTAAGAAGTGTATGTTACTGTGTTAATCAAAATAAATATTGGTATATATATTAAAGGTTTAACAATTGTTCTTCTCTGGTGCCATTTATGTGGGTTTGCATAGTTTGTGTTTTACTTAAGTTGTTCCAGAGAGAGTATCATTCACATACTCAATGTGTAATATGTACTGAAAAAATACAAGTAACAACTCATTTCATATGTTGTTCATCATTATTTAATCTACTTTCTTTCTATTATTCTTTCACATTCATACAGCAGTAAAATTATCTTGTTACAGCAACAAATATAAAATTGCATAGATGATTTTGCAAACTACCCTCAGATGTAACTGCACAGGTATTTTTATCGATCTTATCTCAGAAGTGCTAAGACTATATATATGGGGCATCATGGTGAAATCAGGCGCTCGTTAAAATAGTGAAATCGAGCGAAACCGGCATTTTTTCGCCCTTTACGTAATTTTTATCAAATTTTTGTTTTTTTGGCTCAACACCTTTTGTGTTCATTTAAAAACACATTTCTTTGTGAATTTTACTGAAAAGTATTGATTTAAGGCACAACAAATGTAATTTGCAGTTTCCAAGGACTCTAGAGCTTTGGAAATCACCAAACATTGGCAGCCATTTTCTCTCTAATTTTACCTCTGAATCCAGGCATCCCCAACCCCTATCAAATCAATCACAAATATCTCGACTTCCAAGATAGATGGATGTTTTTTTCACCAAAAACAAGACAAATGAACAAGCTGTAAGGTGATCACAGCAACTCCATATGCCCAAAAAGTGACAAGCCCCTGATTTCACCGCTTTGTGACACATGTTGGTTACAGGAAAAAAATTATTTGGTTTTTAATTTTCTGTAGACGTTACCCGTTTCTATTATTTGTAATAAATGCTGGGGTTTTTTTTTTATTTGTGTGTATGCCCGTAATGGGGAAGAAGTAGAAGATTTACATTTTTGAATATCTTGGAGCTAGGAATGTGACAAAACAACCCTAGAGATTAAGCGGAGAATTTCAATCGCAACATCAAAATCGAAACAGATGGCATCCATCTAAAAAGGACAATGCAAAAATAAAAAAATATTTTTTTTAAAGTACTTTATTGCCCGCCACGATATCTGGATTTAAGGCATGGATCATCAATAAACAAAATTTTAAAAAGAGGATTACAAGTTTCTAGATGAAATATCCTAGAAGAACTCTAAGAATATCCCGGAGACAGAAAGTAAAGATTGAAAAGGTACTAAGAATAATCGATAATACAAACATCAACAATTCTACAGAATGTAATAAAACTGAACTTTTTTAGATCAGAACCTCGTTTTAGTTTTAATAAGAGTTTTGTGCGTCACTTGCAACACAATTGGGTTATATAAGTTCTAAAGACTATATTCTATTAGAGAATAGTAACATACAAAGATGAGGAGAAGGATGAAAGAAAAGGACGATCGATGTTTGATAGAAAAAAAATGAGCAAATCACACCAGAGCATCCGCCAGTCGCCCACAAACTGAAATGTACGTTTAGCACATCAAAATCAAACGCCATGAATCATTTGAGAGACATTCTGGAAGCAAAGGTTGAAGGCAAGAGAGCGTGTGCATAATCATCTGTAATTCAATGCTTTTGATATAACATGCAGTCTGTTTATATTCAGACTTAATGTAAGACAACATTTCTCTGATACTCTGAACTCTCGGTTCTAATGTGATTGGAACCCCCCCCCCCCCCTTTTTTTAAAAATTACTTAGTCATCAAGTGGAAATGAAAGTGAGACTCATTATCTGAAAGGAAGTGAGGCAATAGTTCTATTGGCTGGAAGCATCTTGTCCAAGTCTGCTATGACGAAAGATGAAACTGCCCAGACAGCAGAGCACAGGTCCATAGCGTTAGAGTCTTGTACTGTCATTGTATCTCCATTTGAGTGGTGGAAGTCAAAGTATTTACTGTTCTCGTTTAAGATGCTTCCCCCAGGCACTCCTAGGTTTAGCCACTGCCCAACGTCGGACAGCTCTGCTCCCTTCTCTACCACGGTGGCATTGACACGGGAGAGTAAATTCCTAGCCAAAGTTTTAACTATTTTCATCGCTTCTTCTGAACCAGAAAACTGCAAGCCCTGGGGCGTGAACGTGCCCTTATCAGACTCCATGATGATGTCGAAGTTTTTAGCTTCGTGGGCGTGTTTCTTATAGTAGCTTTGTCCTCCGATGATTCCTAGTTCTTCGCACGTCCAGAACACCACACGAAGGGTTCTCTTTGGACGAAGGCCCAGCTGCCGCGCGATAGACAGGGCTTGCCAGGAGATGAAGGCACCACCCCCGTCGTCCATAGCTCCCTGGCCAACGTCCCAGCTGTCTAAATGACCGCTAACGAGCACAACCTGAAATGATAATATAACATGAAAGATGTCTAGACCTGTGAGTTGAATAATCACGCATGCTAGCAGGCTTTAGTAGAGTCAAATTGGCTATTATTAAAAGGTTCATTTGAAGCTTTTACGTTACAAACCCAAATATGTGGGTGGTTGGCGGGTGCTTTGGCGTGGTTTGCTTCTTCTTTCCTATCAAACATCTTATACTGTCTTTATCTCCCTTCCTTCTTTTTTTCTGTTTATAACACCTCTAATCTTCGGCACTTATGTAACCTTATTGTGTTGCAAGTGCCGTAAAACTCTTACTAAAACTAAACCCACACTGATTGCATAGTCGCTAAATAAGGATAATGTTCTTTGCCGTGAATAAACAGGATTTTACTTCGATTCCCAAGTCAGAAAGAGTCAGGCATTTTACCAAATAACTGTCCCTCCGCACATACATAAAAATGTTTAAATAGATCTATAATATAATTATTATCACCTCCTCTACTTCACTAGTGAATAGAAAGAATTATACATGTAGTTAAAAAGCAGCAAAAGAAATTCTACTCTTATATAAAAGGTAGAAAGAAACCAATCAAGAAAAAAAAATCCTCAAACGTTCAAAGTACAGTCGAACCTGTGTAAGATGGAATCGCGATAGGGAGCCAGAAAAAATAATCCGTCTGAGACATTGTCCATCTTATACGGGGTGCCCACTACGGATGGGACCGGCCAAGGCCTTCTCAGTCCGCCTAGGGACCGGCCGATTGGGTCGATCGCTCGACTCGATCGCCTAAAAAACAAACGTGTTTGTTTTCAGTTTCAGTCGATCGAGTCGTGAGATCG